TTAGAGCTAATGAAGCAGAATGTGGAGGAGGCCCGATTCACCGCGTCCACACCACCTGACCACGTGACACGGTCACCCTAACTGTGGGCTGACGGACCGTGGAGAACTCAGTGGCGGGAACAACGTTTTTCAGACCCTGTCATGCATGATTTCAAACGGGTTCTAACATCCACACCTCCGTACCAGTGACTCATCACCTGGTCCTCTCTTCAGGCTGCTGTGGAAGTCATTTGCTGCTTCTGGTGAGACGATCGCCTCAGGTTTCCTTGGACGTCTGCTGAAGAAACGCATGAAAACACTGAGCAGCTGAAACTTTATATTGGTTTTTTTTTATGATTATTATAATTGTCATCTCAAGTTTTTAAATCTGCTTCTGCTTATTCACACTAATATCCAGGTGTGGGAATAATAAGAGTTTTTTGTCAAGGTTAAAGTATTTATGGTACATGTGATCAAATACATCCTCAGTAAAAAAGTATATTTTACGAAACAAAACAAAAAAATTGAAAAATAATAAACTATAAATGCAACAACATATTTTAAAGAATGTGATAGTATTTTCTGAAATTGTACACAGACAATATCAGAAAGTTCATTTATAAAATTCTAACATATTTAGCATCTCACGTGAAGGATAGGGGGCGCTATATGCAGGTATGTTATGTGGGCAGAACATGTGCGAAAATATTTGTGGTCCGACTCCCAACAATAAAAAAACCCATCAGGGACTAAACACAATAAAATATTTTTCTTCTTTTTTTTATATCTTATTTATATATTTCTTTATATCTCATCCAAAACCGACCCTTTGTTTGGTTCTTCCTAAAATAACTTTTGCTTCTTCTCCTAATTAAGTATGACATATTATGTGATACTGCCATCTACTGGCACATAATATAAGTCCGAGTATGCATGCCCAGGTTTTTTTTAACAAGTATTTTAGATATATATGTAAAATATCCTGTGATCAGCAACTTCATGTACATGCATCAGTATTCATGAGGTACTTTGCATTGACATTTATGGTTGTATATTGGTGCAGAAGGCGGGAAATCAGACTAATCCTCCTGCACCGTTTCTGGGCTAATGGTGATTTATTAAGTGAAGATTGCCTGCAGGTTTGCTTTTACACACTTTTATGAATCTCTTCTGTTTTTTTTTTTCACGTGGCATTTTCCACATCACACACTTCACTGAATACTAAGGCGGCCTGGTTCATGTGTGGCTTCATCTGCTGCGTTCATTCCGATGTGAGAACGTCTTGTTCGTAAGATGGTTTCTGAGGCGACTTTACTTCTTAATTAAGCGGCGGGCTAACAGAACAACTGAACAAAGAATTCCCATAATTCCTTAACGGAGTAGAATCCTGCACTCGGTGTTCTGGCACTTTCCTGTATTGACTGATCTGCTCTGCAAACACAGCAAAATGACAGGATTTAAGGTTGGTGTAGGAGGAGCCTGTGAGATTAGCTGGGACGGAACCTGACGCTGTGATTCGGATTGATAAGACAGCTGGGGTTTTATCCAGAAATCTTGCTTAGCAGAGCTTTACTCCGCGTTGAGAAAAGCCCATGTGTGCATCGGCATGTGTGTGTAGGTGTGTGTTTGAGTATATTGAGGTGTGCAGGCTGCAAGCTACAGAAGTGGAGTTGTTTAAACCAGTACAGAGTGGGCTCGGAGCCCAGTCCCGATCAGCGCACACGTGTTACACCCCCCCCCCCGTCCTCTCCTTCACTTCATATTGGTAATCTGTCTATCTGTTTCTTATTTAGTCTTTATCTCAGAGGCTCTCTCTGCTGTAGCTGCTGTTCTTTCCATCTCAGCCATCGTCTTTTTCCTCTTCAGTATCTGTCCAATTACGCAGCGCTGCATTTTCCTCCATCTCAGAGTCTGTTTTTCTTCCTTGGCTACGCTTCTGTTTTCCATTCTTCTTTACTCACAGTAGAATTTATCTCCTTCCATACTGGCCACTTCCCAAACGCTGCATGTACGTTGCTTTAATGCAAAGGAAAGAAACAGATAAGCAATATTTCAATTTTATTATTCAAATCCTATTAAAAGATTAAGAAAAAAAAAACTAGGCCTATGCAGAAGTGCCTGGAACCTGTAGTTCACTGAACCGACACTAGGGGACAACCCAATATTTTGGTGATAAAAATTTTGTTTGCTCAAAATTTAAGAAACAAAATATTAAAGAGGACAAATATATCTATATATTTTTATATATTTGTAATTGTACGTGTTGCTCCAAACTATGAATCACCCCAGTGATTAACAACGGACTGACAGGAAGACTGGGCTGCACCTTCACTGCCTCCTGGTGTGGAAGAGGAGTTGTGCTTCCTCAACACACTCCACCCCAAATGGTCATGGGATTAGAACCAGGAATCCTTCCATTAATAGCCTGATCCTGTAACCACTACATCATGGGTTGCTGTTGCTAACACAATCTAATATTTAGTATAAAATGTCTCAATGTCCCCTGGTGGAAGGAAATGTTCTGATATTAATCCTTTGGACCAGGACATCTAATCTGAATTTTAGCGCCGCTGTCTGTACACCAAGTAAATGTTCTTATTAAATACTTGTTAGAATGATCGTTTGTCTCCATGTACTGCACATCGATGGGATACAAAATAGTAAGTGGTAGTGGGAGAATAAATCCATGGTATACTGTAATGTTTCACCGCACTGTGCCTTTAACAAGAGCTGGCCCTTTAAACAGGGCAACCAGTGTCCGCTAGAGGGCAGCAGTGACGGCACTTCCAGGGAGCCTGGAATGACAGTGGGCAGAGACAGAGGAGGATCTCAGTCCAAAGCCTGGTGGAGGGGGAAGGCAGACAAAACCTCATGCCGCCGTGGTTTAGTAGCAGGAATTAAAAAGGAAACGCTGACGTCCTGAGCTGCGCGTCGGTTCTGGAACACGAGGATTAGAAGAACACGAGAAAATGCGTCGTTCCTGGATCTGGCTTGTTTTGGCGGCGGTGCAGGTGAGGATGTGATTTGCTGTAATTATTTTTTACCCGGAGTCAGCTGTGGTTGTGGAAGGCTGCAGCAGCAGGGATGGAGGATGGATGGATGGATGATGGATGATGGATGATGGAGGATGGATGGATGGATGATGGATGATGGATGATGGATGATGGATGATGGATGATGGAGGATGGATGGATGGATGGATGGATGGATGGATGATGGATGATGGAGGATGGATGGATGGATGATGGATGATGGATGATGGATGATGGAGGATGGATGGATGGATGGATGGATGATGGATGATGGAGGATGGATGGATGGATGATGGATGATGGATGGATGTTTGGTGGATGGACGCACGGCTGCCTGTTAGATCAGATGGAGGCTGTGCTTTTGTTTGCAGTTTTTGTTTTTAAACATTGTTTTATTTTAAAAAGCAAACTACGAGCCGAGCGGCCGGTGTCGGAACAGACAATGGACTGGTGCTGATCTCAGACCTGCTGCGGTCGCAGCCCTCCATCTGTTTATAGATCTGTCCACGCAACTAGACAAACGCACGCACGACCTGGTGGAAGGTAAAGCGTGGTCGATACACACTGGGGAGTGTGCGCGCACGCTTTTGTTGCATTGTTACTTATTTAATTTAATATTTTATACTAAAGAGAACCAAATCTGGTCCAGATGAACCACATGGTCGAGCCTCGTGATTTGTCATAAATTAGTTTGTTTATTTGAGACAATTTCTAAATTGAAATAGGAGTTAACGTCATTAATTTATTTAGTTGGTGTGTGTGTGTCATCTACTGTATGAAGAAGCTTCAGTCTTTGTTCCGATTCATCCCGAGAACAAAAACCTGCTCCTGATGAAGCTGAGCCTTCAGTCAAATTCTGGATAAAAGTGTGAAATAAAGTCAGGTTGGGATTAGACAGATTAGACATTTTATATGAATTTGTGTCAGTTAAACTGGGAATTCAACAAGAGGCAGGTGTCCCTCTTCGTGTCAAGGTCCACCTCTGGTCTCATCACAGACCAGAACCCACAGTGGTCTGCATTCAATAAAGCCACAATTTTGTTGCTCCTGTAAAAAGTCAGATTGACGGAGGAACTGAAGTGAAGTAAGGATTAAAATTGTTCTTGGATTAGAACCTTTGTCTTAAATAAAAGAACATCACATTTCTGTTGCTCGGAGAACGGTAGTCAGGAAGATCTCCAACTGCTTCTGGATTAAATTAGGAATATGTTTTGTTCCTTTCATTTCTCCTGTATTTGGGAACGCCATGGTTTTACTTTTTATTATGAGCAGTGAGGTTTAACCTCAAACAAAATCTGGTCTCAAATAAAAATTAAACTCAGGATGATGTCATGATCTGTGGATCTATAAGAATGAAGACTGGCCTGAATTAATTTGGATTAGATAATCTCATTTTAGGATGGAAATATTGCAATTTTTCACTTTCAAAATCCATCAAGAGGCCTGAATTCAACCACCTAACTGGCCAATTTTGGCCCGCAGGCTGTATGTTTGACACCCCTGAGTTACATTGTCTAAAAATGAAAGATTTTTTAGATTTTTCTTTTCTTTTTATAAAAGGAGTAAGAATAATTCTGTTATTCCCATAATTTTCTCTGACAGGGTTGAGGATCGTTGATGATCCAAACTGAAACAGAAACTCATTTGTCTGGTTTTCTTCTCTTTCTTTCGTCAGGATAAGTGTATGAAGAAACATAAACCATAGGGTTTTACAGTGGAACAGAAAATGATTTCAGTGGAATTGTGTCTGTGGTTACCAGATTTTACCAGTCTAAAAACAGTTGAAATGTTTATTTATTTTTAAGATAAATTAAAGATATTTTCCCCAGTACTATTTGCTTGTCATTGTGACACATATGAAATTTCAGTATTTCTGCAACATGCAGGTCATTTAACACCAGGACAGTGTCTTATAAATATCCATTTCATTCTGTGTATTCAGTTGACTTTTCTTCCTGTACCCTGAACTGGAACATTTCTATGAGACAGTGTTTTATAAAGGAGCCCAGAAGCAGCTGCCTGCTCTGACAGCAGCTTCCTGCAGATGTGTAGTCGACACACCGTGAGGTGTTCGAGGAACCCTGCTGTGATGGTAATTGTTCAGTGGGAGGATTTAAAGTATTAATTGTTACTTATGGCTCAAAATTCCACCTAGTGTTTAATGGTTAGTGAGCTAATGGCGAGCAGGAGTCGAGCTCACCGGCTGCAGTGGTTGGAGTCGGCAGCAGGTCAATTAAGGATTCCTCATTTGTTTCAGCTGCAGACGCTGTGAACAGCAGCACGCCCGACCGCCGCTGCAGCCACACCGGACGTTTCATTACATTTCAAATGGACAGGATGAAATATCATGCATCAGAGTTTTTCTGACAGTAAAATAAAATGTCCTGCAGCCTGTGACTCACAGTGAACGTGACCTCTGTTTGACTGCTGTGACTGAGAGGGGATGGGGGGGGGGGGCTGACAGCTGAGGTGATGGAGGCAGGGAGTTTTGGATGTTTTCTTTTTGTCGTTTAGAACAGTGGTTGCCAACCTTTTTTGGTAGCAAGGAGTGGTCGGCTGGTACCAGCCGTTACTGTTGACCGGTGGTACCACGCCATCATTGAAGGATCACATTTTCAAACTAAAACATCTTTTAGAACAGTTTTTTTTCAACCTTTTTTGAGCCACAACACATTCATATCATCAGGAAAAACCCCACAACACACCACCAAACCACCCCCACCCCCCAACCTACCACCACCTCCCACATTGATGCCACCTATCCCCAAATTCCAGTTTGGTTTGCCTCCGAAACCGTTGTAGAAACTCTGACAGTTCTCTGAATCTGAACGTGATTCTTCATTGTCTTTATGTTAACTGATTGTTCTAGGACAGAACTTGATTTATGAGACCTGTCCAGGATTTAGGCCCGCCCCCACACGATGACTCGCAGCCTTGCCTGCGGCCTTCCCGTGACCCTGAAAAAAGATTAAACTATAAAATTAATGAATAAACAATCTGTGTTTTCCTTGGGCCTGTTCAGAACTGACCTGTTAGCTGTTAGCAAGCAAGCAGCGACTCAGCAACTAAAACTCAGTGTAAATTGCTGTACAGTTCTCTGCACTCTGACCACTGGTTGATTTTTCTGTATTATTTGAATATCTCAGTATATTTCGACTGAGTGCCCGGCCTGATTTATTCTAGAACACTGTTGAATACATTATCAACAGGAGGCGCTCCCTGCAGCCTCTCACCATATGTTTAGGGGTCCTCTGCCTTAAAAACGTAGAAGACAGTTTGTGAGCGTAATCATCAGCGATCATGTTGGCGTGTCCGGAGGCAGAGAGTTTAATCATTGTAAATAATAAATGTGGAAACAGCTGCCGTCTTCCTGCCGTACGGTGATGGTATAGATGTAGGCAACACCAAAGCTCCTCCTCCATCACTGACAGAGAGCTTCCAGAATACCTCTACATTTACTTGGCAGGAGGAGGCGCCGTTGCTAAGCCTCAGGGAACAGGCCATATGTACAGACACCGTGGGCCATTGGACTCCAACCAATGGGTTTGGTATGGACTGAATATAAAGAGATCAGAATGAAGGAGCAGACCTGAAAACCTCTCAAACTCCAGTGGGTTAAGAACTCATTTTTTCTAATCTCGACCGCAGCTCCCATCAGCCTAAAATAAGCAGCACTTCAATTTGGTTTATTTAATAATTTAGTCTAATGGGCTTGTTTTTCTGCTGCTGGTTTTCATCTCTTTTGTTCTCCGTCTTTACTGGTGCTGTGAGCCTGTACGCTGGATGCTAATGGGTCTGTTCTTTTGAGTTGCGATAACAGTAAGGAGGGAACGATGAAGTCCCCAAAAATCCCCAAAAATCCCGTAAAAATTCTGACGGAAGTGACGCGTTGGTCACAGAAATTAGACAAAGGAAACATAACAGACATCAAAAAGTGTAAGTGTGGAGTGGCTTAAGAATAGTTGATTTTTGAGGAACTGATTTGTGAGAAAGTGATATAAACCCAGACAGTGGGTTGTGAAGGTGGTGTGTTTCACTAGTACCAGCTGACCACTGTCTTCACGGGTGTGTGTGATGGTAGTGTGTGTGAGGAGCAGCTGCCCTCAGGGTCCTAACGCTGTCTCCTTCCGGACTTTCTGCCCCTTTGATAACACTCTGGTCCCTCAGTGGTGCTGCCATGCTGTCATGCCATGTTGTGTTTACTGACCTGAATTAAAGGAACTTGGTTCTTTGGTGTGTATTGGATTCAGCACCATGCACATAAAGATGATGACCAATCAGAGGCTGCGCCGCCTCTGATAAAGAGGTCAGGTCAGGTCGACTGTGGCGCCCTCATCCTCAGCTTTAGAGGATTTCACTTGATTTAAGAGGCACTTCAGCATCTACAGAGGGGATGGCAGCAGGGGTGTGGGTGGGTGGGGGGGCTTTGTGTCATGCACACACACTTTCTCACACAGAAATGCTAGGGACGTGTCCATTTTTAATTTGTGTTCCCTTTAGCATCCAAAAACATTTGAATAATTTTTATATTCATAGACATCACATCAGTCTTATCTGTTCATTTGTTACATCGATGATGTCATTAGGGCTGAAGCTAACGCCTCAAAAAACGTAGGTACACTGTCGCTCGTTAT